CCTAGCCAATGCTTGACTTGTAGATATTGGTCAGTGGTATTGTAGATAGGACATGGGCATAACTACCAAAATGTTCCTAAAATATTTAAGGTCATAAAAGTTCTAAGAATATGGTAAACAACACAGACACACAGACACAGACACAGACACAGACACAGACACACACACACACACACACACACACACACACACACGCTTGCGCACATATGCACACACACTCAAACCTATACTCACATTGTTACTGACCTCTCTATATACCCACCCCATCACCCGTATTAAAGGAGTCAGGAAAAATGAGTGTCTTCTAAACGCTATTACAGTTCGAATCTCCATTATACAATTCTTTGCCCATAATGTAAAAAGGAACTGATCTTTAAGGCCACAAAAAACAAGCATGCTGTAATCTAATGGCGGCGTGCAAAATGTGGTGATTATTCGTGGCTTTGAAAAAAGCTCCAAAGAAACGCTTTCCAAAGAGTCTCTTGTGTAAAGGGAAGATTCTCAAACAAGACTACTTTGATCCTTCACAATTTTTACCATGTGGTATTAGAATATAAATATGGCCTTTGTTTTTGAGATTTTGCTTCCTCCTTTTATGCACTTCTCAGAGGACAGATCAGGGGATGAAATCACAGCTTTCTATCATGAAATTAATTTTGTACACTTGAGAAAGCGACTTTAATCACCACCTGGGGGCAAGATAAATAGACTATGCCAGCTTCCCTAGCCATAGGAACCAAAACTTAGAGGAGGAAAAAAAAAGAATGTGACAGAATAAAACCTTTTTGTTGAAACTGTGCACACACAGGCATGGTGTAGATGTGGTGTGTGTGTGTGTGTGTGTGTGTGTGTGTGTGTGTGTGTGTCCATGTACAAAGGCACTAAAAGGACTATGTTTATAATCAGTTCCTTCAAGTTAGGACTCAGGTACCAAACAGGCATGGGAATATTACATATTAAGTAGTTTGCAATTTGATTACCTCTGTGTGTGTGTGTGTGTGTGTGTGTGTGTGTGTGTGCGTGTGCGCACACGCGCCCGCACTCATATGCTAGGCAAGCACTATACCACTAAGCCACCTCCCTAGTCCTCTTTTTACATTTTTATTTTGAGGCAGGCTCTCATTAAGCCACCCAGCTGGCCTGCAATTCACTCTGGAGCCCAGGCAGCATTCAAATTTGCAATCTTCTTGCCTCCAGCTCTTGAGCAGTACAGGTTCATCAGTGTGACCACTTCTAAGTAGTTTCTCTGTAGGCTTTCCAAAGTTGGAAAAGATGAGGGAAGATCCACATTGTATGCAAATAGAAATAACTTTGAGACTGGTGTCTTATTTTCATTTTATGTTATGATAAATACTCTGACAAAGGCAGAATAGGGTTCTCCCTGTGTTCAATTTACTCTCTTATTTTCATACAGTCCAGGATCCCAACCCAGGGGATGGTGCTGCCTGCTTTCAGGCTGGGTTTCCCACAGTGATTAACGTAATCACGTTGACCCCTATAGTCATACTCAAGCTAGGCAATCCCTCATTCTGTGTCTCTTCTCCAGTGACTCTAGACTGTGTCAAGTTGACAATTAAAACTAACCATCACAGTTGGAAACTGAGGAGACAGCTTAGTGGATAAAGAGCCTGCCATATAAACATGAAGACCTGGGTTCAGATACCAAGCACCCATGTAAAAAGCCAGATGTGGTGACATGTGCCTATAATCCCAGTGTAGGGGAAGTGGAGACAGGAGGATTCCTGGGGTTTGCTGACCAGCCAGTCTAGCCAAAATAGTAATCCCTATCTCTAAAAAAATGAGGTTGAAAGCCGGGTGGTGGTGGCGAACACCTTTAATCCCAGCACTCAGGAGGCAGAGGCAGGCAGATTCTATGAGTTGGAGACCAGCCTGGTCTACAAGAGCTAGTTCCAGGACAGTCTCCAAAGCCACAGAGAAACCCTGTCTCGAAACCCCCCCACCCCAATGAGGTTGAAAGTGACAGAGGAAGACACCCAACACACATATACTGACACACACATGTGCATACATACAAACAGACACAAGTAAATAATTTTGAGTACTATAAAAATAAATAATGAAAGGTATGTCATTGGTTATAATAGTGTGCTACACTGGAGTATTGAAGAAAGTGTGGACTTTCATTTAGACTGTACCCCAATTATCTATGAGTGCATATGCTACTTACTCTGAGTCGTGTGTGTGTGTGTGTGTGTGTGTGTGTGTGTGTGTGTGTGTGTGTGTGTGTGGCTGTGGTAACATGAGGATATGAATATCAATTGCTAACAAAACCATATGTATACTATGGCTGCTATAATTCAGTAATACACAATTTCTCAGAAAGTGCAATTACAGGTATAGAAGAACAACAATTCCCTAGAGTTTTTTTTTGTTTGTTTGTTTTTGTTTTTGTTTTTTTTCTGTGGCTTTGGAGGCTGTCCTGGAACTAGCTCTTGTAGACCAGGCTGGTCTCGAACTCACAGAGATCTACCTGCCTCTGCCTCCCCAATGCTGAGATTAAAGGCCACCTGGCATTTCCCTAGGTTTTTAATTGTGATGGGTATCTGTCTGTCATAGAAAAAAACAGATTAAAAAAAAAAAAAAAACTGGGTCTGATAGTGCAGCCCTGTAATCCCAGATCCATAGGTGGCTGAAGCAGGAAGTTTGCACACTTAAGGCCTGCCTGGGCTCCATTGTGAGTGCCAAGTCACCCTGGGCACCTAAGACAGATTCCGGCTCAAAATAAAAAGTACACAAAGGGCTAGAGAGAGCTCAATGTTAGGACACTGAGTCAGCGCCCCCTACTGGGGAAAGAGATAATTATCAACACATATATTTCAGTGGCTGGAGAGATGGCTCAGTGGTTAAGATCACTGGCTGCTCTTCCAGAGGACCCTGGTTCAATTCCCAGCAACCACATGGTGGCTCACAACTGTCTGTGACTCCAGTTTCTTGGGAGCTGATGTGCTCACACAAACATGCAGGCAGGCAGAACACCAATGCACATAAAATAAAAAGAATTAAAAATTATTTTTAGGGGCTGGAGAGATGGCTCAGGGGTTGAGAACGCTGACTGCTCTTCCAGAGGTCCTGAGTTCAAGTCCCAGCAACCACATGGTGGCTCACAGCCATCCGTTATGAGATCTAGTGCCCTCTTCTGGTGTGCAGATATACATGGAAGCAGAATGTTGTATACATAATAAAATTATTCAAAAAATTATTTTTAAAAACAAGTATATGTTTCATATATGTCCAGGGAATGAGGAAAGCCTAGACGTTGAGGATTTCCTTTATATGTGGCTCTTAGCTTATTTACACTGCTTCCTCAACAAAGAATCATGAGTTGTGAGAGAAAATTTAGGAGTCTGAATCTTTTAGGAAAGACAACCAGTTAGGAGAAGACAAGTGAGGAGCAGAGAACCGCAGCAGATATGTCTATCACCACTAGGAGTAAATGCCTCCCTCTTGCGGAAGGAGAGGCAAGGTCTTTTGTCTTCTTTATGCTTTGCCTTTCACAGACAGATGAGGTGGAGAACACTCTTAGATCTGAGGCTTGGTTATGTTTGGTCAAACAATCCTTCATATTTTGGGATGGCATATTCCAGTCTGCCACACAGGCAAGGTAAAACATTGAGGGGAAACTAAAATTGTTCCCAAGGAATACATCTTAATAATCTGAGCTCCTGTTATCTTTAAATGACTCTCTTCTTTGAAGTCAGCTGACAAGGTCTTACTTCAACAGACATCTGCAAACCACCAATTAAAACCAAGTGACTAGAAATTCATGGACTCAATATGAAAACCCCTCATCCAAACCAGAAAGCTATCTTGTTGGCCACATTCACAACAGCCAGGACCACACCATACAGCTGTCCTTAGATGATATGCCTCCAAACATACACATTGCACAAAGCAACAATGATTAGATGATATGCCTCCAAACATACACATTGCACAAAGCAACAATGACCCCCCCCCAACTGCCCAAACAATAATCACAAAACCCCACAGATCACAAGTGATCTAATGGCTTGCAATCCATAGATTTTAGGGTTATCTCTCAAATCATGTTACTGGTAGAGGTGCCCTTTAATAATAATTACTGACGAAACAAACTGCATGCAAACACTTTGTTAGACAACACTGGGCACAATGTCCATTGAGTTCTTGCAAAACTGTATGCACAAGGTTCATCTTCATTACAGATATTGTTCCTTACCGAGAACTTCTACACAGACTTGTCCACTAGCCCACAAGGAGCGCTGTGGTGCCTTACCCACAGACCGTGAGCCTCAACACACACAGCAGAAGCACTAACTCACAGTAAGCGTTCTCTGTTGCCCACAGGCTCTGAGCCTTCCTCCCAGGTTCTTTGCTGTCCAAACAGCACAGTCAAATTGAGAGGCCCGCTGGCACACACTCCGTCAACTGCCCATCATCCGTAGCCCACATCCTTAACTTCTTTTAACAATGAGTTTACTATTGCAAAGTTAAAACATTAACACATTTCAAGTTTGTATTCTAATACAAATTCCCACAGCAACCACGTAATAATGTGGTAATATAAAATATCAGGTTGGAGTTTATTTCTTATTCACATTTCCAAACATCTCTAATTCAAAAACTTGCTGATTTTACAGTTTCCTCTCTCCAGAGCTGTGAAGGTTCAAAGACCTGGAAGTGCCTCATAACTTCAATACATCTTTTCACATTTTTTAAAACTTCAATACATATTATAAATAGCAACCATGAGATCTCTGAGACCCCTATCAAATTAATAGTACTACACTAAAAATAATGGTTTCCTTCCAAGTCCTTTCCGAACCATTCTTTAATATTTAACAGAGAAAAATGGCTGAAATTTTTATTTAAGATGTCAGGGTGGTATGCTGAGTGACTGCTGAAAGCTGGGGTACACAAAAGCAGTCCCTGAGGAGCCGAGGTTTTGCTTTACATATTTATTCCCAGAGCTTGCCCTTCATCTCCTTTGTGCTTTCCAGACTGATCCAATTTTGGGGCTTCCTGGAGAGTGCTGGGTTCTAATCAGCAACATCAGGAAGAGTCGGAACAAAGGGAGATGAGAAGATGCAGAGTCCCTCATGCCCCTGGAGCAGTGAACCCGCTAGCTCGTCCTACAAAGACACTCTAGCTGTCCGCAATCTTTACCCAGACAGACAGGAACAAGAAACGGTGGCTGAGCGCCTCAGCGACTCAACAGATGAAGCTTCTGAGAGGACCCGGCACCAGACCTTCGCTTTGTTCCTTCCCACGCACTGTGCTGACCTCCACACCTCATTTGTGACTGACCCCTGGGTAAGCTACAGAAACAACGGACAGAGAGACGCATTCGACACGCCAAGTTTCTCAATATTTCTTTTCTCCTGAGGTCCCAATCCCTCCCTTTTATGAGCAGGTTAAAGGTTTATTCCCCGTTCTTTTAAGTTAGTAGGTTAACGCCACCAGGCCAGCTCCCCAAATATGACGCAGCCCCCAAAATGAAACACTTGCATCTCTCTTGGACAACCAAAAAGAAGTCAGTATTTATTTAGTTATTTTTTACTTTTTTGGAGAATTTCACACATGAATACTGTATATATATATATAATTCCCCCCCACCCCAGGCTTCATCTCCTCTTGTGTCCCTCATGCTGCTTGGCAGACAACCCCCACTTAATGGAAATCCTGAGCTGTGTGGTAGCCAGAGTCCACACATCCACTCCAGCTTCCGCTTCTTCAGAAATCTGGGCACTTGAGCATCTGCAGAGAGAGGCAGCTTGAAATACATACACGTTGACTAAGTGGATGGGTCACTCCAGCGCTGTTGGGCTGCCATTCCAGATGATGAAGGTCTTTCCACAGGCCCGCCAGCCAGAAGCGACCAGGTATAGGGCAAAGAAGCCAGGCATGGGTGGAGGCAGCCTGGCCTAGGCCGGTCCTGCCCTTGTCGATGCAAAGCATGTGGTGAAGACCCTGTGAAAGCCAGACTTGAAGATGTCTAGAGACACACTGTCCACCTGCAGCCAGCCCACATCAGCCATCTTACCCAGGCCTGCCCTGCCTCTGGGCTTCAGCACCTTCATGAGGAAGCCCTGAACTAGTCCTTAGGAGTCTGCCACAGTGGGGTGGGGTGGGATCCTACAGTGAAGGTGGCCAGCACCATCCTGCTCTCTCCATCAGGACGGCCCCGTTCCTGCCAGGCCAGCCTTTGTCCCTTCACAAGCCCTCTCTGTCCTTCCTTGACCAGTATTAGTTGTGTGTTAGACCTCACCGTGGGCCGTGGGCAGAGCCTTCTCTACCCAAAGAGGCTTTTCCAGCTGGCTGCCTAGTCTTCTGTAAAGACGGTAATAAAATAAACCAACAAATACAAACACGAGTAGACACAGGAATAGGCGAGCAAATAGAGGAGAAAGTGAATGACCGGGTGAAGGGACTCCATTACAGCCTTCCTGAGGGGCCTTTCTGGAGGCTTCTTCATTCAACTCTGCCCCTTAGAGTGATGTCATCTCCATAGCAACAGTGTTCTATCAACAGAAGTGTCCAAGAGTTGGCAATGAGGCCCTGGCAGCCCAGTCCTGTGCTTCCAGCTTTCTAGGACCCTTCATATCTGTAGGGAGGGCGGGCGACACATGGAGGCACTCCCTCAATTGGGACAGGTGGGACCACTAACTGTTGTCACCCACTGGATATTTTTCACTGATTGGAGTCCCTGGCACAATTTGGGGGCACACAGGAGGAGGAAAGCCCTCCTTTTCCTCAGAGCTTGCAATCTCACCAGCCTAGAACATGAGAGCTCAGGGACTCAGGAGAACAATAGCACACACTGTTCATTCCTTCACTCACTGTGCCGGGCCCTGTGTAAAGAACCAGGCACATTCCTGCCTGCTTCCTGACAAGGCTGATTGGTTATGATCCTAGGCGTTGAACCCAGGGCCTGCCCAGTGCTAGGCAAGCACTCTTCAGCTGAACTGTATCCTCAGCCCTAAATAAAGAGGGTTCCCCCCCAAATGTTAATATTAGAGTAACATAGCAATCTGAATCGTGTTCTAGACGAACAACACGGGATAACTAGTTCTGTCTGATAACGTCAACACACTTCTGAGGAGGTGACAGTGTGGCTAGTGGCCCTGGAGGTTAAGGAAGGAAGAAGGAAAAGTAACTCTAGGTGATGGAAAATGTATGCGCATGGTTACCCGTGAGTCAGTCAATGAGCTGCAAACTAGAAAGAAACGAGTCCCCCAAAATAAAACTGGGTGGGATTCAGGAGGGACTTCAAAGTCTTCTTCAGGACTTGGACACTTTTCTCCTGTCGGTGAACACACCAACCTTCCAAATCACCTGGAAAATTAATTTAAAAATCCCCGTTCCCAGCCATGTATGAGGGTGGACATCTTTAACCTCAGGACTTGGGAGGCAGAGCCAGGCAGATCTCTGAGTTTGAGGACAGCCTGGTCTACATTGTGAGTTCCAGGCCAGCCAGGACTGCATAGAGAGACACTGTCTCAAGAAGAAGAAAAAAATAGTAAAAATCCTAGGGCATACTCCACACCCCTGACTGAGGATTTCTTGAGGGCAGATCTGAGATTTCAATGCTCTTCTTAGTGGATCTCTCATTAAACCTCAAAGTTTGGAAACTGAAGTTTGTGGCGTCCAGGAGGTGGAGAGATCTTGGAAGGTTCTGGGAGGAGTTGACACATTGATTGGCTAAGGATTTACAGAGGGCGTCAATATGAAAAGCGGAGTGGTTTGTGTGGGGGCTTCTGCACAGCGTTGAGAAGTGAGAAGCTGAGAGAGACGTTGTAGGCAGGGAGTCTTTTTTGTCATCCCACCCGTGTGTTGTGCTTTCTGAACCATTTTAGATACTGTGTTCTAGTCTGTTTTTGGCTGTTTCCTGAGGCGGGGTAATTTGTAATGAATGGAAGTTCATTTGGTTCATGTTTCTGGAAGCCTGGTTCTTCCATTTGTGTCCCGTAGTAGAAGACAGAGAACAAAGGCAGCTGATGGGGGAAGTGGATTTACTGTTGTAGCATCCAGCATCCAGCATCCAGCACGAACCCACCCTACAGTCCCAACATTAACCGGTTACAACTACCACACTATCCTGAGTTCTTACAGACATGAAGTGACCATTAAGCAGACCTCACCTTCCAACAAAGCTAGATTTTCTTCCCTTTTTTCCCCCCTGGTTTTGCTTTTTGTTTTGTTTTTTTGAGACAGGGTTTCTCTGTGTAGCCTTGATTGTCCTGGAGCTCATGCTATAGACCAGGCTGGCCTAGAACTATGTAGAGCTGCTTGCCTCTACCTCCTGAGTGCTGAGATTAAAGTTGTGTGCCACCATGCCCATCTAAGCCAGACTTTGATGTAAAGGGAAGAGAGGGAAAATGTATTTGTTCATTAATACAGTGAACTTAATTGGGCAATTTAATCCTCCCTTGTGAATGCCTATGTTACCTAAATTAAGGTAAAATTTCTTTAAAAAAATATGGAAACACATGAAAGACATTGAAATGAATGAATTTAAGCTCTTAGGAACTTAATGGGGAGGCAATTCTGTGCTTTGATACTGGGGGTCTATTTCTATTTACATTTCTTTTTATAGTTGTTTTGATTAAATTTGCTTATCTTATGTGTGAGTGAGTGTGCAGGCACACATGCATGCATGAGAGAGAGAGAGAGAGAAAGAGAGAGAGAGAGAGAGAGAAGAGAGATGGGGGGAGAAGAGAGAGAGGAACCAGGGAACTTGGGCCACAGGAGACAGGAGTGGAGTAATGTGTAGGTCTTGGAGATCAAACTTGGGTCATCAATTCTTGGCAGCAAATGTATCTATTCAATGAGCCATCTTTCTGGGAGCACATGTGTGTGTTTTGAGACTGTAAGAATGCTGCAGGCTTTGTTCCAACACTGATGTATTAGTTACTTTTCTCATTTTGTGGATAAATACCTGACAGAAACAACTTGGGTGAAGAAGGATATTTTTGGACTCGCAGTTTGAGAAGGATGCCGTCCATCATGGCAGGAGGCAAGGCGGAAGGAGCATGAGGTGGCCGGTCACATTGCATCTGTAGACAGGAAGTAGGGAGGGATGAAGGCTGGAGGTTACAGTTGTTTCAGATTTTGCTCTATTGTATGTGTATGAGTATTCTGCCTGTGCGACACAGGCATGCAGTACCCTCTGAGGCCAGCAGAAAGCAGACACCCTCTGGAACTGAAGTTAACAGGTCATCCAGCAGAGCAGCCCAGTGCTCTTGACTACTGAGCCATCTCTCCAGCCACATGATGTTTTAGCTTTGTCAACTTGACAGTCGGGACTCACTTGGGAAGAGAGCTTCAGTGATCGACTATCTGGATCAGGTTGGCCTCTGGATATGTCTGTGGGGATTGTCTTGATTACGTCAACTGATGTAAAAAGACTCATCCATGGTGGGCGGCACCACTCCCAGAATATGAGTTCTGGACTGGTCAAGAGTGGAGAAAGTGAGCTGAGCCGCAGGCTTGCACGCAGTCATTCTCCCCACTTCCGACTGTGGCTATAACCAGCCTGCTTCAGGGTTCTGCTGTCTCGAGTTTCTAGCAGTGATGAAATGCAACTTGGAATCGTAAGCCAAATAAACCGTTTTTCCTTTATAGTTACGTTTGTAGGGGTATTTTATCACTGTGGCAGAAATGAAACTAATACAGCTGGCTTCGTTTTTGTGTGTGTGTGTTTTGTTTGTTTGGGTTTTTTGTTTGTTTGTTTGCCCAGAGAGGGTTTCTTTGTGAAGCTCTGTCTGTCCTGGAACTCACTCTGTAGACCAAGCTGGCCTCAAACTCACAGAGACCCATCTGCCTCTGCCTCCGTGTGCTGGGATTCAAGGTGTGTGCCACCAACGCCCGGAAGGTTCTTGACGATGTTTATTTTTATTGTCCCGTTTTCTGAAAGAAGTATGCATGATCCATCAATGCTGAGTTTGCAGTGGCTTAATTCTTTCCCCTCCTTTTTAAACTCAGCCTGAGACCTCAGCCCATGGCATATGTCACCTCAGTTAAACCTCTGGGGAAACTCAAACATCCAGAAATGTGTTTCCTAGGGATTCCAAGTCCAGTTTAGTGGGCAATGAAGATGCTAACATTGGGTCTCTTCAGTCTTATACCAAATCACATCCAATGTTTTAAATATTGTTAAAGATTTATCTTAGTCAGGTGGTGGCACACGCCTTTAATCCCAGCACTCAGGAGACAGAGGCAGGCGGATCTCTGTGAGTTCGAGACCAGCCTGGTCTACAAGAGCTAGTTCCAGGACAGCCTCCAAGCCACAGAAAAAGCCTGTCTTGAAAAACAAAAACAAACAAACAAAAATATTTATCTTTATGCATATACATGTTTTCCCTGCACACATATGTGTGAGCCACGTATATGCCCGAGGATGACCAAACCTGGGTTCACTGAACAGTTCCTAACAGCTGAGCCATCTCTCCAGCCTCAAGGCATCCAATGTTTTAATCCTATTTGACACTAATTACTTGGATTAATATTAGACCCTATTGTTAGAGGCTCAATTTCCTAAGATTGTACCCATTTCAGACACCAACCACTTGTCCCAGGTCTCTTGATACTTCTGACCTACTGACTCTAAGTGATGGGTTTTCACAATCCCCTTCTCACCGGGGATCAAGGCCATATATAATGGACGATATTCCTATCATCATATCATCATTAAAAAAAATGTTCTGGGCTGGAGAAATGTCTAAGTGGTTAATAGTGCACTCAGCTCTTGCAGAGGACCTGAGTTTGGTTTCCAGCACCCATGTCAGGTGGCTTACAATCTCCTATAATTCCAGCTTTCAGGGAATCTGCTGCCTCCCTTTGGGCATCTGCATTCACACACATCTATCACACACATGTACATAATGAAAAATAAAGTAAACCTTAAAAGGGGCTTCAGAGACCCTGTGCCAGGACCCAGGAAGAAGGTCAGATGTGTATCATTTCAGAATGTCACAGCCAGACACTGTCATACAGTGGAAAAAGTCACACAACTTTGGACAGAAACCGAGCCCCACATTTTTTTTTCTATCTGTGTGGCCTTAGACGTGCTATTTAGCTTCTTTCTGTGTTTATTTTTTCTTCTTCTTTAGACCTGTAATTTGTGTTCACGGCAACTATCTTTTAGGGCTGTTACAAGGAGAGGGAGACTGTGCGTTAAGTACTGAGCTCTGTGGCCCGCACATTAGCAAGCACTCTGCGATCGTCGGCTTGGCTGCCTCTGCTGCCCCTGTCTCACCCTTCTTCTGGAGAAAGTCTGTGTTCCCGTGATGCTCCAGACTCAGCTCTTCCGCTAGAGTGGTCCAGTTAGCTAAATTGCAAGTGACTGACGGTTTGGGACAGGAACTGAGGAACTGATACTGGTGGAGATGTGAGCTTCTTTGACAATGCCCCAGGATGTGTCAAGGCATAAGACACATGGGCCAGCGATGACTTACTCATGACTGCTGCCTGCAAACAGAGGACAGGGCAGACAACAGGGCATCCTCTCATACCTCAATATAACCTCCCAGCCTGGTGCTTTGTTCAGCTGGGGTCCAGCAACAGTTAGCCACTCTCCAGTTTGCTCAGAAGGTGCCCAGTGTTACCTTTGAAGGTTCAGTGTCCCCCAAACCCTCTTGGTGCAGGCTAGTCAGGACAGTTGGACGTCATATGTTTGGAAGTCTGTGTCCTGGGTTTCTGACTGCTGGCAGTGTGCTTCTGTAGATGCTGCACCATTGCCGCTGCCAGACTAGCTTAACAGGGACAGCACGAGGATGAAGAAGCCCATTCCTAGGTCTGAACCCTGGGTGGTTCCACTTTTAGCATCAGAAAAGATTAACTTTCTGGATTTCTTCGTCTGTGAAAACACATCATATTCCTCCCTGAAGTTGTCGTGAACTTCATATTATTAAATTAAATGTGCACACAGTGCTTGCAGTGTTGCAGGATGTCAGGGAGTATCCGTTGTTTCACCCAGACTTCCCTTGGGGGTACTGTGTCTCTCAGCACCCTGGAACTTCACTTCAGGGAAGGAAGGGGGCTCACAGGCACTAGAGGGCACTGTGGCCACTAGTCCATTCTTCCCCACTTCTTCCTACATTCCTCTGAACACCAAAACAACGCAGCTTTGGTGAGCCTTGATGGAAGCCGGCAAACCCTAAGCCCACAGTCGTCTCTAGCTTACCTAATGGGCCCCACATGCTTCCCATGGTGTTAACTGAATCTGGCCATTCTCTGTCCTGTACACTTAATTCATAACCCTTCTCACTCCAGGGGGTTCCTGAGGTGCCAAGGGCTCCAATGTTTATTCTTAGAATTATTCAACCGCAATCAACTAATTACTCTGATGAACTGTCTATCTCTACCCCCATTTGCTTGACTAGGCTGGAAACAATGATAGGCATTCATCTTAGACTTATTTGTAGAAACTCTGACAGATGGAGAATTACAGAGTTCGTTAAGCTGTCTCTTAAAATAAATATTTCTGATTTAACCAGCGAGTGAAAGAGGAAAAAGCCACAACCCCTCACTGATCAACTAAGTGACGGCGTGTTTAAAGAAAATGGCGAGGGAGGTTGTGACTGCCATAGGCTCTGAAGGAAACTGCTCCTAACACGTCTCCCCGCATTTCTGTGGAAGAAATTGTCTGTGAAAAGAACGTTCAGTGTTCCTGGTAGGAGTCGTTCTTTACCTATAGTATGTTCAGGGAGAAAGAGGAAATTAGTCGGATACTTTTAAAATTAAATTTCCAGGGTTCCTAAAGGTGTTAAATGTCCCAGAGACCCCATTTATCAAACAGCATGGACATAATGACCCCATGCTTTCTGGTGGGGCTCCTGGGCCAATCTGATGGGTTGTGTGTCTCAGGAATGCTATAACCTGGTATATAATAGTAGCCTTCTATCTTTTTTGATTTATATCGTTTTACTGGTCTTTTATAGTTAATAGGATATACATGAAAATATTCCTGTAAAAATAGCATCATTCTGTATGAGGTTTCAAAATGCAAATGAGTTTTACTAGACTCTCCTAGTTGGCATCGTCTAATAGGTAAATATTTCTTGTTCTAGGGCATGAGACAGTGTATTGATCCCATTTTAAAGGCCTGGGGGCTGGGGAGATGGTGCAGTCAGGAAAGTGCCTGCCTCATAAGCATGAGGACCTGAGTTCAAATTCCAGCACCCATGTGTCCACAGTCTCAGTGTAGGAAAGCAGGCACAGGAAGCTCCCTGGAGCTTGCTGTCCAACCTCCAGCTAGCCTAGGGAATGGATGGGTTCTGGGTTCAGTGAGAGACTGACTCAAAAAAATAATATAGAGAGTGAAAGAGATAGACATCCAGTGTCAATCTCTGGCCTCTGTGTATATGTGCATACATACACATGCAGACAAATAAATCCCTAAATAGCCAAGACAGAGATCTGCACCAGGGTGACCCAGCCACGTGATGGAGGAGTGTGTGGCAGTGCTGTGTCCCACACAAAGGTTCTGGAACAACTTGGATTTGAGCTGCTGTTGAAATGGGGTCTTTGGTGGGCAGAGGACTAAACAGCCACATTGGACCAGCGCTGTTCGGTGGAAGAATGTAAGAGACACATGTAATTTCAGATTCCCTGGCAGCCACATTAAAACAGTGAAGAGCCACAACAAAAGGTGACTTAACTGTTTCAATATGTATTCTATGCAAAACTTGGGAGCTATTTGCATTCTTCTCTCTCTCTCTTTTTTTTTTCATACAGTGTCTTTGAAATCCGGTGTGTATTTTATACTTTCAGCACATACAGGGCTCACAGGTCACAAGCTGGCATAGGGACACAGAATGGCAGTCTGGCAGAATCCTGATGGCACCTGGAAAACCAGTCCAGCCTACTGTGATTGGGGGTGAGAGCGATGACTTTCTGCTTACCTCCCTTCCAGTGGTCCCTCCTTTCTATGGTACTAGCAGAGGATGCTGACCTCGTACCCGGTGCCAGATACCATGGTGGGCATTCCAAATGCAATGCCTCTGCCCTGTAAGAATCACAGCCACAGCTCATAGTTCAAGTAAATGAAATAATGAAGTGGGAGCAATATAGAGTAGTGGTTAGAATGGACTCAGGGACTATTCACGCTGATCCTGTCGCTGCAAACCTTGAGGAGGATTGTCTTAGTGATACAATCCAGTGTTCATTCTCAAATGGACAGAACAGAACAACTTCCCATAAAGATATAATGTATGATGTACCCAGGGCCATGCTTGCAAAATATTAATTCATTAATATTGATGTCACTAGTAGAATAAATATGGAGCAATATAGGATTTGTTTATGTTATGCAAGAATTGTAAATGACTGGGGCTCAGAAGTTCAGTGACTTGGCCTGGACAGCACAGTTCATGCCTACCAATCAGGTTTTGTCTTGTGCCACTGTCTTCAGTGTTTCTTGCTATTTGTTTTCTTTTACAACCTGGAGTTGACTCTGTGACATAAAAGGAAACATATTCTTTGGAGGTAAATTCTTTCTAAAACTTTAAAAACTATATTGTTGTTGTCGTGTGTGTGCACACTTGTGTGTGAATATACATGGTGGTGTGTGTGTGTGCCACAGCTCACTTGCAGAGACCAGAAGACAACCCCGAGAAGCAGT